GGCACAGCCTAGATCAGTGGGTTCTCAACAACGGCTGCACACTAGAACCACCTGTGCATAGTTTAAAAATTCTGATGCCCAAACTGTGCCCCAGACCAATGGTATCAAAAGCTCTGGTAGTGACACCAGACATCAGCAGTTTTTAAAGCTACCTGGCTGATTCTAATGTTCATCCAAGATTGAGAACCATTGCATAGACGTCAAGGGATTAAGGGACGTCAATGGTTAAGGGAATTTCAACCAATTTAACTTATAGGTAGTCTCTGGATATGGTTATCCAACCAATTAAACAATCAATATATACAAAAGGACTTTAAAAAGTCTGTAGAAAAAAAATGAAATTAAAATAAGAGTTTAGGATCTGTCCTTGGCATGCTGGTTAAGGTGGCTGGATTCTACATGGCGAACCACATGGTTGAATCCCATGCCAGCAGCTTGAAAAACACATCAGGCATCCGTGTGTGCATATTCAAAATCCTGCAAGGAGGGAGTGGAACAGAAGTGGTTGTGGCATGGTTATTTCTCATGGCAGGGGTAAAGGGTGGGGGATGGGGGATGATTTCTCATTCCTCTGCCCCACTGCTCGCCCTCCGGCACATTAAAAAAAAAAAAAAAATCCAAGAGTTCATTTTGTTGCAAAAAATTTTTGACATCCACACATAGTCTTTTTAGAATATGCAGTTTTCATGAACTTTTTTTTTTTGAAGAGGTTTTCACTATAGGGCGCGTGTACTCACCAGACAGACAGAGAGAGACAGAGAGACAGAAAGCAAGAAATCACCCCCCAGGGGGGATGGCCACGCTGCAATCCCTTCTCTTCTATTCTCCTCTTGGGATCTTGGGCATGCACGCACACGCGCCCGGCGTGAGTTTAAGCCACCAGGTCTGGGACGCGAACCACGGTCGACTACATGGGAGTCCAGCGACATAGCCATTATGCTAACTGCTGGTCCCTTCATTAACTTTTTTAAGGCCCCTTGTATTTCTTCAAAATGCTATGATGAGACTACTAAATGCCTTCCTTTAATGAAGACATGATACTAATAATGAAATTATTTTGATCTATCATTCTCGGAATTCTAACAAGAAGGATGTATTAGTCTGTCACAATTTGCTTTCCTCTATCCTCCTCAAACTGATTCTTAATGATCAATGATTTTTTATTCCAAATTAATGGTTCTCAACCAGGGTAATTTTGCATGCGCTCTACCACAGCCCCTAAACATTCAGCAATAAACATCTAGAGGCATTTCGGTTATCACAACTTGGAGAAAGAAGAGGAGAACCAAGTGACACCTAGTGAGCAGAGGCTAGGGACGCTGCTAAACATTCTGCAATGAACCCGAGTCCTTTAGGAAACATTCAATTCATGGAGGCTAATCACTGCTTTCATAATTTCCAGTAGAATGCTAAATGTTGTATTTTTGAATCCTCATTATATCTATTTCCCACGTTTAGGTAACATTAGGACTTCACAAGAGTTCCATAACACATGAACTATAACAACAGTACAAAACCTCTGCAAGTTTCCTCAGTCTTGTATCTCTAGGTGCTTTTGTGTTTTGTTTTGTTTTGCTGACAGAGGTTGCTTGCACTCACCAGAGACAGACAGACAGAGGGAGAAGGAAAAAGCATTCCCCCTAATGGGACATGGTCAAACCACAAACTCTTCGCTCCATTTCTCCATCCTGCAGAGAGTTTGGCAGGCCAGCACATGTGCCCAGGGTGTTTTTCAAGCCATCAAGGCCAGGATTTGAACTGCGGTCAGCTACATGGGATCTGATTTCCTTTAACCACTAGGCTATGGGGCGGGCCCTCTAGATGTTTTTAATAGAAACAATATGCATTTATAGTCTACAATTCTAATAAGGGTGCAAGTGATAATGACACAATTTTTCTGAGAGTTCAGAAAGCAAGATGAAAAACAGAAAGATGATGCCTGCTAGCCCAGCTCCAAACCCCATGCTATATATGATAGGTTCCCAACGACTCCACAAAAGGCATTTTAAATGTATACACATGCCCTGGGTTAATATCCTAGAATCATAGGGGGGCTGACAGGTGGCATGGTGGTTAAGGGCACCGGACTCCCACATGGTCAACACCAGTTCGAGTCCCTGACCCAGAGGCTTGCTTTCTCACTTTCTCTCTCTCACTCTGTCCCTCTGTGGTCAAATAAAAATAAAATAAAATAAGTTAATTAAATAAATAAAATAAGAAATTCTAAAAAAAAAGAAAAATTTAAAAAAATCCTAGAATTTTAGGTCTTGGTGGTATATTTATCTCCTTCCAACTGTATATTTAGATAGTGGTTCTTGGGAACCAGCAGTTAGCGTAATGGCTATGTCGCTGGACTCCCACGCAG